TCAACTGATGTCCTGATTTTTAAAGTTAAAACTCTACATGTTATTTTCATTTTATTTTTTGACACGTGCGTTCAGCGCTTTTATTACCACTGTTTGCTGGTCTGATCCATTCACACTTACCTTACATATATATATATATATATATATATATATATATATATATATATATATATATATATATATATATATATGGTGCAATGGATAAATTATCGTCTAAATAAAAATAGCACTGACATCTAGATATATATATCAAAATTACACAAAAATATTTTGAAATACTAAAGAGTAAATTTATTCATTAAAGCCATCATTGGCTTCAACGACAGCCTCCACACGACTTCGGAATCTTGTCAACTCTTCGGGATGGTCTGTTTATTTTTGGTGAATGCTGCCATAATCCTTGATTTCAGTTCATCGTTCGTGTTACAATATATTACATGATTATAGACGGAGAATCATACAAATTCCTGAAAATAGTTTATGTTTAACATCGCCACATGTTTCACATCAGATTAGATTTTGTCAGAGATGCTGGATATTTTGTGAGTTCCTATTAATCAATCTAACGGAAGAATCACGCGTTTCTTTTCGCAACTTTTAATAAAACTTATTTGGAAATCATTTTTTTTACCAAATGTTCAATCTCGCTGTTAGATATGTTTTCCGATACCTTTCTAGTTGAAAGACAAATTTCAGTTGAGATAACTTATGAATTATTATCTGCATCTAAGTATTGCTGTAAATATATATATATTATATATATCTTTTTTTTTTAAATCCCATGTTGAACTCAAATACATCCAACTTTAAAAATAGTAAGTGGAGAAAATAATTTTACAAAACTTTCATTTTTTTCACTTCGTTAATGAATATATTTCTATAAACATACACACACGCGCCCACGCGCACACGCACACACACAAACAAACATATATATATATATATATATATATATATATATATATATATATATATATATTTCTAAATTAGAAAAGATAAGATGGAGCAAAATCCACAGTTCGTAGTATTTACTTTTTTAAAACGTGCCCAATACAAAGTAGAATAAAATATGATTATAATATTTTATTATAATAAATTACATAAAAAAAACACATTTTATATTACTACACAAAAACTTTCATGTTTCAGTACTAAGACTGCATTTCCTAGGGCGATGGTAAGAAATGGGTAAAAAATTTTTTTAGAATTAAAAAAATCGTACCCTCTTTTCCGAAGTGAAAGGGTTGGGCCATAACGACAGAATTAAAATATACTTATGTGTATGTCTAGATTAACCAATTAAACATGTTATAATTAAATATATATATATATATATATATATATATATATATATATATATATATATATATATATATATATATTTTTAATTTTAACATCGTGCACCCTTGGACTTCGAAAAAGAGGTAACAATTTGTTTTTAAATTTCCCTCATAAATCATTTTTATTACGAATTATCTAGCATTTTTTGACTTCCTTTATCGCGAAATCGCTGCAACATTGAAATGTTTTCCTTTGGCAAAATTTATACGTATTCATATAAACGAATTATTCGATAAATTCTTTTACGCATTTATTGAACAAATGGTCTTGGTTTTTTGTTTAAGCCTCCGTCTAGCTTTTTTTTTAAATTCTTGTAAACCTTGTTTGTTTCTATTTTCATACAAACTAGCCTTATATTTATTTACTTCTTTTTCTAGTTTTACCCATTTGGTTCTTAATAAACCTGCCGATGGATAGGACTTTGTCTTGCTCAGAGTTTTAATTGCCTTTAAGGGCGTTTATCTGGCTGTGTTCGAGAATGCACACGCGTACAACACGGGCGCGTATTTGAGTGGGATCAAAACAGGGTTATTTAATGGCGAAATCTAAATATTTTGTACGCAAGTTTATGGCTTCAACTAAAGATATGTACAAAATTTTATACTTTTATAGAAAATGTGTGTTTTATAGATATATTTTTTAGTTGATCTGTCTTAGATGTTATATGTGTTGGTATAAACCTATTCATTATGTTGACAGTGTAAGTATTTTCAAATATTTTTCCCATGTTTTCGTTGTATTATTTATGGGTCACAGGTGTTAAGTGAGAACATTCAGTTATAATGTGTTTCAGCTTGAGTGCGGTTAGGTATGCGTACATGTTCGTTGATCGATATTCTTCAGCAAGTATGAATGGGTGAGGGAATTGTGGGATATGTCCAGCCGAGTTAACATTAACTCATTCTTCTTTTCTAAACACCTGCCTTCGTTCACCATGCTACGGTTTGATTACACGGAACTTTTTATTTGCATTGTCGGTCCAGCGCTTCTGCCATTTTGTGCATGAAATTGTTTATTTTTGTTTTCAGGTCCGTATAAGAAATCCTGAAATGATTATCAAAATTTCATTAGGACCAGAATTTGTTTCGGGTCATTTCCTCTAATTCTTATGTTGCTTGAGATCCAGCATTACAATATTTTTTACTATTAACAAGGAATC